CTGGGCCCCCACCACCCCCGCCGCCAATCCCGGGCAAGAAAGGACCTCCGCCTCCACCGCCATCGAAGAGTGGACAGCTTTCAAAACCACCTGCTCATCCGAAGGAGCCGAAGAATGAGGGCGAAAGTTCATCAGCTTCAAGCAACGATCCATCGAAGCCAAAGCTCAAGCCTTTACATTGGGATAAGGTTAACCCTGATGCGGGCCATTCAATGGTGTGGCACCGTATGAACAGCGGCTCCTTCAAGTAAACGAATCTCTCATAATCTCTGAATTCTGTAGAAACCGTAGAAGAAATGAAATTCTTGAAAATACTGAAATATCTTATGTTTGTCTTGTTTGTCTTCTTCGGGCAGTTTTGATGGAGATCTCATGGAAGCTCTGTTTGGGTATGTAGCCACAAAGAAACAGAACGAAGGAAACAGTGCTCCACCACAGAACCCGATTGTGTCGGCCACACAGACATACATTCTCGAGCCTCGGAAATCTCAGAACAAGGCCATTGTGCTTAAATCTTTGGGGATAACAAAGGAAGAAATGATCGACTTGTTGACTGAAGGTCATGATGCTGACGCAGACACACTAGAGAAACTCACTAGAATAACTCCAACACAAGAAGAACAAGCAGAGATCTTGGAGTTCAGCGGTGACCCGACGAAATTGGCTGATGCAGAATCTTTCTTACTTCACATCTTACGAGCAGTTCCTTCGGCCTTTGCCCGTTTCAACGCAATGCTCTTCAAGATGAGCTATGGCCCAGAGGTTGCTCACCACACAGAGTCTTTAAAAACGCTTGAATCAGCATGCAATGAGCTCCGAGCTCGGGGACTATTCATGAAGCTTCTAGAAGCAGTATTAAAAGCCGGAAACAGGATGAATGCTGGCACAGCTCGAGGAAATGCTCAGGCCTTCAATCTGACGGCTCTGAGAAAACTTTCTGACGTGAAGAGTATTGATGGCAAAACTACATTGCTTCACTTTGTTGTTGAAGAAGTTGTGCGGTCTGAGGGCAAGAGAGCTGCGATGAGTAAGAACGAAGGCGACATTGGCGAACCCAATTCTGAGAATGCTGGTACCTCTAAGGAGGAACAGGAGAAGGAATATATAAAACTAGGGTTACCAATTGTAGGCGGTCTTAGCTCAGAGTTCATCAATGTGAAGAAAGCAGCAGGGATAGACCACGATGGATTTGCGGCCACTAGCTTGGCTTTAAGCTCGCGTGTTAGAGAGACTAGACGGCTTTTGGACCAGAGCAAAGGGGAAGAAGATGGGTTCCTGACAAAGTTGAGATCTTTTCTCGAATCTGCAGAGGAAGAACTGAAAATGGTTACAGAGGAGCAAGCTAGAGTTATGGAGTTTGTGAAGAGAACTACAAATTACTATCAAGCAGGAGCGTCGAAAGACAAGAACCCGTTCCACATATTTGTCATAATCCGAGATTTCCTAGGAATGGTCGAAAAAGTCTGCAGTGAGATTGCGAAGAATCAGCAAAAGAGAAAGCCCGCAACAGCAGGAGGAACATCGGCTTCAAATCCTGCCGCACAGAGGAATGCAGTTAGATTTCCGATCCTGCCGCCGAATTTCATGTCGGAGCATTACGGAAACAGTTCTAGCGACTCAGATTCAGATCCCCGATAAAACCCAGGAAGGATTTTGACAGCCCAAATGCATTGGAAATTTAAAAAAACAAAATTCTTTTATTGTATAGAACAGTTGCATCTTGAGGTGATGAAGAAATCCTTGGGGTTCTTGAAGATGTGTTCTTTTGGTTTGGTTGGTGAATGTTTTTTGGTTCTTGGACATTATGAAATATTTATCCAAATCTATTCTTTTTTATTTTCCCTCTCAAGACAAGTAACTGATGTTCTTGTGTCAAAACGATACATACAAAAATCGATCCTGAGTTTCAGAATTACAGAATCAGTTCCTACGATCCATAAGACCAGTGTTCATACATTGTCGAAGGTGATCAAACTGATTTTCTTTCTAACTTGTCTGAATCTTTCACCTCACAAATAGTTCAGATTCCTCTTAAAGAACTGAAACATGTCTGAAGAGTCATTTTGACAGGACCCACCACAGTCATCTGTTTTATTTATTTATTTATAATCCGTAAATTTACCGTGTTTTCGACTCAACGGACAAACCCAGGTGAATAGCTCCTCACCAAGTGAAGACTCAGCCTAAGATTGAAAAACAGCTTTGCTCCATACTTTACGTGATCTTGGATCCTCTGTCGTCTGTTGCTCCATCTTCACGACAAAAGACATTCTGCAAACGATATAAATCACGATAAAGAAACTTGCATTCAAACTCATATATGGTACACTACTCAGTTCTAACTAGTTTAGGATAAAGTCATCCATCACAAAAACATTCATCAAATGAACATTCAAAATGAAAAGAACCCTTCTTTTTCTTCTTGTTTGCTTCAAAGCTAACAAAAACAGAGACTTTTGCTTAAATCAGATTCTAGCTCGACCACCAAATGAAGCTCACTTTGCTTCTCTTCTGTAACACGAACTCAAACAGAGGAGCTCCGCTACAGTTATAAGCACTGATACACACAAACACATGTTTATTGTCATTTTCTCAGATGCAATATATATATGCATATATACACACAGCCAAAAGCCCAGAAACTTCACATTATCTCTGCAACAATGATACCCACTTCTCTCCTTCTCCATCTACTACTATATCTCACGCTTCAACCGGGTCGGGTCAAATCCGACCCGGATCCCCTCCAAGACTACTGCGTCGCCGACACGAAATCTCCACACCCAATCTTCCTCAATGGCGCACCGTGCAAGGATCCGACACTAGCCACGGTTGCGGACTTCACGACCTCGGCTTTGTCCGAATCCGGAGACACCCGAACCAACCAATTGGGGATCAACGTAACCCTAACCACGACCACGAACTTGCCCGGTCTCAACACCATGGGACTCGCCATGGCTCGGATCGACTTCGCCGGACGCGGCGTCGTGCCGCCGCACGCGCACCCACGTGCCTCTGAGGTCACGATCTGTCTCGAGGGGGTTTTGCTCGTGGGGTTCGTCGATACATCGGGTCGTGTCTTCACGCAGGAGCTTCATGCGGGTGAATCGTTTGTGTTTCCAAAAGGTTTGATCCATTTTCTGTACAACATTGATTCGGAAAGTTCAGCAATGGCGGTTTCTGGATTGAGTAGTCAGAATCCGGGAACTCAGATTGCGTCGTTGGCTTCGTTCGCGTCTAAGCCTCCGATTCCTGAGGAGGTTTTGGAGAGGGCGTTTAGAATCAACGCTCAGGATGTTGCCAGAATCCGGAAAAATCTGGGAGGGTGATTGATAATATATATATATATATATATATATATATATATATCAAAATTGTGTTTTTTTTTACAATTATAACGAGTTAATTGAAGTAGAAATAGAGGGAAAAAACATGGAAAGAAATATTTCAGATAAATGAGAATGGGTGATTTAATTGTGGAATTTATTGGAAATTGGAATTTTTTTCTCTCTATTCGGAAAATTTATATTACCTATAAAATAATTAAAAGTAAAAAATCCATAGATAAATGATGAGAAAAACGTAAGAGAAAAAAAGAAGAGAAACATAACCAAAATATTCCTCTATTTCCACAACTATTCATAACTTATATTTGACAAGTACTCTTTTGGAATTTAATAGAAACCAACTTCATCAAAATAATATAACGCAATTACATATGAATATATATATGCTCGCATATATGTATCTACGAGTATATATACACACATGGCAATAATTCGTTAAACCCTAATATCAGTTTCGACTAGGAAATTTTAGTTACAAACAAAAAAGACTTCAAAAGACAACCAAAATGTTTAAAAAAAAAACCTCCACAGACTAACGATATAACAAAGCGAGGAAAAAAACATTTCATATATACTAATTTTCCATTAATTTAATAGTGAACCACAACAGCATAAAATTTCTATCCGTATATTGTAACGTATTTTTGTAACATGTTTAAAAACATATTTTATGCGGTCACCAAGAAGTCACAGAGAGATTTCTGAACGAAACATAAAGGCATTGTAAAAGAAGCCTACCCTTTCCAAGGTGAGTATATATATTCTCGTGGGCTTA